ACTCGGGACCCTGCAGCTGAGGTCCTCCACTCAGTTTAAGACTCAGCTGAGCCAGGATCTCCTTGAAGCCCGAGGGCACTGGGCCAACTGTGCTGCTGGCAGGTCGCCGGGCTCCCCCCGAGCCTTGGAGGGGCACAGCTGCTCTGCGGGAGGTGAGGGAGCAGATGCCACCCTAGGACACAGGGTCAGAGGCAAGGGCCCCTTGGGACAGTCCACACTGCTGGGCACCTCAGTCTGGATAGGACACGGGGCCTCTGGGCCCCTCCAGTTTCCCGGGACTCCTCCTGTCAGCAGTGTCAGCTCCTGGAGGAGGCTTACTGACACACGGCTCCTTCCAGGGGTGCGGGATGGAACCAGGTGGACCCAGAGGCCCAGTCCGAGCTCCTGTCCCAGCTCCAGGAGGGGGAGTTCTGGGTGGAAGAGGAGGAGCTCCTGAGGGAATTCGACGAGCTCACCGTGGGCTGCCCAGTCACTGAGGCTGGCCACCTGCAAAGCCTCTACACAGGTGACACCCCGGGGCCACCCCAGGAGGCCGAGTCCCACAGCAGGCAGCCTTCCCTGCCTGGGGCCCACCCTTGCCCCGCCCCACTCTGCGTGTCTCTGATGTGGAGTGTCCTGTCCCCTCCCCTCCATTGGGCATGGTGGCTCTGGAGGTGCTGGCCTCCTGCTGTCACCGTGGCTGATTCCGCACCCCACCTTGGCCCTCAGTGTGTGGGAAGCCGGCCCCAGGGTCCACACTGACCATGGCGCCGTCTCGCACTAGGGAAGGTGCTGAGCTACTCCCGGGCACTGCCTGGGGCCTGGATCAAGGGGCAGTCGGCCGGGGGCTGCCGGAACAACAGCGGCTTTCCCAGCAACCCCAAGTTCTGGCTGCGGGTCTCAGAGCCCAGCGAGGTGTACGTTGCTGTCCTGCAGAGACCCGGGATGCGCACGGTGGACTGGGTAGGCCGGACCCGGGCACAGCGGAGCAGCGACCACCCCCTGGGGAGCCCAGCAGGCATCCCGGGCAGGGACTACCAGGCTGTGGGCCTGCACATCTGGAAGGTAACTCCGCCCGCCCGGCCCTGACTAGGCAGGTGGCCTGGGGACCAGGGCGGCACGCCACCTGGGACATGCGTGCCTTTGCCTGGCAGGCGCCTACTTGGGGCTGTGGTGGGTTCCAACACCCCACGGACCCTGCTCTGCCAAGTCGATGAGGTCTGGCCTCCCCTGCCGTAATCAGGCCCCATTGTCCAGAGGGAAGCTAGGTCCTGGCCAGTCAGGCCCGGGCAGCACGAGGGCCTGGAGGCCCGGCCCTGCAGGCTCCCCTGGAGCAGCTCTGCCCTGCCAGGTGGCCTTGGGGAGGTTGCCTGCTGCTCGCTCGCTCTGTTCCCTCGGCGAGGTGTGGTGGCCTCACGGCGTCGTCTGAGCTCAGTCTGCCTTGTGCTCGGGGACTTGAGGCACTGCTGGGATACCCGCGAGAAGCAGGCGGCAGGTGGGCGACGTGTGCCGCCCGTTTGCTGGGCTGGTGCTGGTCGGGCCCATGCACGTGACACAGGGGGTGGCCTCTCACCCCGCCTCGCCCAGGGCCCCCAGGCAGCCTGTGTTACTCATCTGCTCTTGCGAGAGAAGCCGCCGGCAGCTCTCTGTCCATCTGCATGTGCCGTGGTGCTCTGGAGCCCAGGCCTGTCTAGATTTTCTGTTTTCCCCCAGGTCAGAGGGTTTAGGCTGGCATCTGGGACAGGCATGGGCCCAGGGCCCTGGTTCCAGGCATTTCCAGCCAGCCTCTAAGGGGCAGGATGGCCTGGCAGGCCGGGCGCCCCTCTGCTACCTCAAGGGTCCTTGCGCTGGGAGCAGTGAGGCCAAGGGCCCTTCTCTCTGCCGACCTGCCGGCTCCTTGCAGGTGGACAAGCGGCGAGTCAGCCTCCCCAGGGTCCTGTCCGCACCACCCGTGGCCGGCACCCCCTGCCACGCGTACGACCGGGAGGTCCACCTGCACTGCGAGCTGCCCGCGGGCTGCTACCTGGCCGTGCCCAGCACCTTCCTGAAGGACGTGCCTGGGCACTTTCTGCTCCGAGTCTTCTCCACCGCAAGGGTGTCCCTCAGGTGAGCCAGGCCTGCCTGCACTCGCTGCTCCCCAAGACTCTGAGGTCGTGGCCCAGGGTTGGGCCCGCAGAGGCCGGGATCTGGGCAGGGTCCCTGCCAAGGCCATGGCACACTGCAATGCCCGTGCTGTCTTCTGGCAGTGCTGTGAGGTCCACGGCCAAGAGCACTGGCCCCGGGACAGCCCTGCCCTCCGGAGAGTGGGAGACCGTGCGGCTGCAGGGCTCCTGGACGGCTGGCCAGACTGCAGGGGGCAGCAGGAACTTCGCCTCCTACCCCACCAACCCCTGCCTCCCCTTCTCTGTGCCCGGAGGCAGCAGCCCCCGCTGTGTCCGCATCACTCTGCACCAGCACTGCCAGCTTGGAGACAGCGAATTCCACCCCATCGGCTTCCATGTTTTCCAGGTCAGCACCTCTCCTGGGAGGGCAGGTGGGGAGCTGGGCCCAGGGAGGGGACATCGGGAAGGTCTGCATCTAGGTTCACACTGGCCTAGCGCAGGCCGGGTATGGCATGGAGCCAGGCTCGTCTTGGCACTGGCACGTCCGCCTGGCCGGCTGGTGGCAGACTTGCCTGCAGGTTCCCAGAGTCCGTATTCACTGGGGCCGGCCCAGGCAGCCCTTGTCCGCTCGCTTTGGCTCACAGCGACTGCCCTGAGGCTGGTTCTCCCCGGGACTGTACCTCCCACTCCTAGACCCAGGCTCTGGGGGCCAGAGTGGATGCCCAGCCCCGTGGTGGATGTGGCCCAGGAGGCGACAGGGAGGGCCATGTACCGGGAGCCACCACAGTCTCTCCCCACGTACCTTCCCGTGCTCCATGCCCGAGGCCTGGGTTGTCTAGAGAAGCTGCCGTCAGGCACAGCCAGTGAGACCCAGGCAGATGTGGTGACCTGGGTCAGGGTGCAGGGGCCCTCAGGGACCAGAAGAGTGGCAGAAGGACAGGGCCCCGATGACAGATTCTCGGTCCAGGGGCTTCAGGTGGCAGCAGATGGAGCAGACCCACCATCCCCAGCTGGGGCCCCGAGCCCAGCACCCTCACCTGGGTGTCGGGGAAGCAGAGTGGCCTTCTCGGTGGAGGCGGCCGCCCACAGTGCTAAGCCTTGCCTCCCCTCAGGTCCTGGCGGGCAGCGTGTGTGAAGACGCGCCCTCCCTGCTGCACCAGGAGCCGCTGCTGAGCTGCGTGCCACATCGCTATGCCCAGGAAGTGAGCCGGCTCTGCCTCCTACCTGCGGGGGACTACAGGGTGGTGCCCTCCACCTACCTTCCGGACACCGAGGGGGCCTTCACTGTGACCATAGCCACCCGGATAGACAGGTGCTCGGCGCCCCACACGTTGAGTTTGGGGGCGGGCCCGCAGGGGGGCGGGCGAGCGGAAGTGGGCAGGGCTGTCACATGTAGGAGGGCTGACCTGGCCCCCTCCCCGCAGGCCATCCATCCACAGCCAGGAGATGCTGGGGCAGGCCCTCCAGGAGGTGCGTGTGACCCCCACCACGGCCGGCACCCACCGCGGGTAGCCTCTGCTGGGACATGAGGCACCCCGTGGAGTCCCAGGGCAGAGCCTCCAGGGGTGTGGGCTGGGGGGTGTGCCCTGTGGAGGGCAGCAGGTACCCGGACCCCTGTCTCTGCCCTGCAGGTCTCCGTCACGGCAGTGATGAGAACCTGAGTGGACTTGGGTGCTGCTGGGGCCGCCAGGCTCCCGGTGCAGCACTGGCCGAGTCCGAGCCCTCGCTCTGAGTGACAGTGGCTGGTCTGGGGGTCCAGGAGACGCACCCCGTCCTGCAGACGTGCAGCCCAGGGGTCGAGCAGGCCATGCAGCACAGACAAGAACACTCAGCTGCATCTTCGTCACTGGCTGGAAGGACGGATTCCGAGCCCCGGGCCGCAGTCCCTGGTCCCGAGAACTACCCAGTCTCCCAGATCCTCTCGCCGACCTAAACAGTGGCCTTACGCCGGCGGCAGCACAGTGTGACGGGGCTTGCTCGAGTGTCGGTGTTTCTTTTTAGAGTACCTTCATAAACAGACACGATCTTAGAGCTGCTTGTTCCAGGGAGCCGACCGTGTGCCATGCAGGGGTGTTGGGGCGGCAGGTGGGTGGATGGTGAGTGGGACAGAGAAAGTGCCAGGACCAGAGGCAGAGGGGAGGTGGGGTATGGGACACCCAGCCCACACAGAGTCCATGTGCGTGGGAGCCCGGGAAGGGGCGGAGAGTAGGGGAGGGCTGGGTCAGGGTGCAGGGGGCCCCTCAGAGACAGGACAGGGGTCTACCTGGAGATGGGTCCATGGGTCTAGACAGCAGCTCTGCCTCCAGCCAGAGCCTTTGCAGCTGGGATCCCTCTGTCCCTGCCCTGTCTGCCCCCCCCGGGACTGCCGTCTCTGACCCCTGTCCCTGCCCTGTCCCCTCCCGTCCACACAGCTCTCAGCCGTGTCTGCTGTCTCAGCAGGTGGGAAGGGCCCTCGAGAACTACCAGTACCTTCTCCAAACCTTGCAGTGGACAGGCCCAGAGAGCGTGCTGTCTGCCGCAAGCCCTCTTGCCCACAAGCCTCTCCATGGCCTGCAGCCCTAAGCTGCTCTTCTGGACTGGCCTGCAGCCTGCAGCCCCCTCCTTGTCCCGTGACCCCTCTGCCCCAGGAGCAAGCCTAACCTTAGCTGGGCTCAGCCACTCCGGTTCTGTCGGCGTGAGCTGGTACCCGACTGTTGCCCTGGACCTGTGCCCAGCCCTTCTGCTCCATGGCATCTACACTGACCTGCAGTGAAGCTGTCGCTGCCCAGTGGGGTGTGGGAGCATGAGTGTCAGGGAATAGCTGGGTACCAAAGAATCCTCCCCCAGGACAGTGCTCACGTGGGGCTCAGGAGGCAGGCAGACTTGTGCGTGCATCAGGTGGGGACAGTTGGGTGTCACGGGTCCGTGCCATGAGAGGAAGCTAGTAGGGGGCCACATGTCGGGACCGCTGTCGTGGCCACCCTGTAGCACTGCTTGGACACCGCCTGCCGTGACCCCACTGTGCCATGGGCTTAGTGGAGGGGTCCCTGCCTGGGGACCCCAGAAGCCAGCCATGTCCCCTAGGCAGTTGCTGGGCAGAGGCCACACCTTGCTGGGCAGCTGCTGCTGAGTCCACGGCTGGGGCCTGCTTCCCTGGGGGGATAGGAGCTAGGCAGGCCAGATTGTTGCATCGGAGACCACAGATCCGTGCCCACAGCCTCATTTGTGCTGGCCTGCCGGGCCTGCCCCCCAGGTGCCGGAAATGTCGCTTTAAGACCTAGGGTCTCCTGAGGCTCCTGGCTTCCTTCTGATGGGGTGCTGGCTGGGAGCAGTGGTGCACTCTTGCCTGGGAGAGGCCTCTGACCACTCCGCAGCACCCCAGGTGTGGCAGCCCCAGCTTGCTGTTACCCCAGCTCCGTGGGAAGCTGTGGTGGCTCCGTGTGGTCCTTCCACACCAGCTGGCCCAGGTGCATCATGCATTCCAACAGACACAGCTGTATGGGCCACATCTGCTCCTCACACTGACAGCGGGTGCACGCCAGGTCCCCAAGACCACCGTGACCTGCCCCTCCCCTGTTGTACTGACGGTGTCTCGTCACTATCCCTTGGGGGCCCTGGTTCCTAGGGGGGGGCCACACAGTCGAGTATAGATGTGACAGGGACCCCACCTTGCCTGTGGGTACTACCAGGGAGGCCTGACTCTGCACCCCCTGAGAGTCTGCACTTGGTCCGTACCCTGGTTGGGTAGTTCCAGCGCCCCACACAGCTGCCCCACCTGGGTGTCACTGGCTACAGCACAGTGAGTGCGGCCCTTCCTCCCCGTCGACCCCAGCTAAACACTTGGAGACCCAAAGAAACCCACCTGAAATGGGCCCAGGGCCCCTGGCTCATGTCAGCTGGCCCACCTGCAGGACAGCCACCTGACCTCAGCTAGTGTAGGTGTGGGTGTGTCCTGTGACCTGGCCTCCCGAGCCCTCTGCTCATAGCCACCTTCCCTGGACAGGCATGGTGGCGTCTCCACCCTGTTCCGCACCAGCCGCCGGTTCTGTGCCTCTAGGAGCTGCCCAGCCACTCCATCTCCAGGGGCCTTGCCAGGATGCCAAGCCCCAGCCCGAGTGCTTTGGGCTCCTGCACCCCGAGCCAGCAGGCTCTGCAGCCCCTATGCCCCGTAGGGGTGCATCCTCTCTGTCGTGGCCCTGGGGAGAGGCGGGTGGGGCCCGTGGCTGCTGCAGCCCTTCCCTGCAGGGCCCCTCCGGCTTGTGCTGTGGCCCACGGGGTCTGCGTCAGTCCTTTCCCTGCCTGCACTGGGTGTGGACAGTACCCCAGGTTGTCCACGGGAGGCCCTAACAAGACACCCCTGGCCTGCCAACCAGACCAAGGCCCCAGGTGTGCCTGCAGCCTCCGCAGATGGGAGGGGAAGCAGGCGGGAGTTATGCTCAAGCCAGCGGCCGAAGACTGCCCTGTGACACCTGTCACCTCACCCGAACTGCCCCTTGCGGCTGCCGCTTTAGGCTTCAACACACTCGTGCACGCTCTGCTTTGGTGGGGTAGGGGAGCTAGACCCAACAGGCCTGTCCTGCCCCTTGGAGGACTGGCCACCTGCTGCTCTGCCTGCAGAGGGTGCCCTGGGGCTGCGGGCTGCGCCCTTGTCCTCTGGGCCTGCCTGGGCCCTGCGCTGTCTCCCATGTGCTGCTTGTCTCTCCGTAAGGCCGGTGGTTTCTGTGAACACAGCCCGAGCGTTCTCAACCATCGAGCCGCCCCCTGCAACAGTGGGTTCACAGGGCCTGCTGCCTACAGCCTAGGCTGGGCCGTGGCCGTGTCTGCGAGGGACCACCCATGGTGCATGGACAAGGAAGCCCCTGCGCCCCTCCCTGGGGCCTCCACTCCCATGACCCCCTGAAGACTACGAATTTCAACCCAGGAATTGGAAGAGCGCGTACAGACGTGGGAGAGCCCTGCCCCAGGCGCTGCCTCAGGAGACCTGAATCCTGGGTGACTCGCTCCTTCTGCCTTTCCGGGCCTCCGGGACACTCCAGCAGGGTCAGCAGGCTCCTGCCATCCTGCGAGCCCGTGAGGTGAAGACGGTCCCCTGCCCGCAGCGAAGCGTGCTGGTGCCTGGGCAGAGGGCAGGCGTGGCCGTGAGAGCGCCTCCTTCCCGCCTGCCCAGCAGACTTTGCCCTGCACACCCGCGTGAGGCTCTCCTCGCTGCTGCTTCCTGCTCCAGGTAGGCCGTTGGTGCCTCCCAGGTGGGGCCCGGTCCTCGTCCGTTCTCACCCCCCTCCTCCCCAGGGCCTGCGTCGGCCTTGGGGGTGACAAGTTGTGGGGTGAGTATGAAGGTCCCGGTGCCCTGAAGGGTGCCAGGGGCTGCCTGGGCTGGGCAGGGCTTCCCGGGCAGGCAGGACTGGGCCAGTCTGGGATGGGGTCAGCTGGCTGGGCCAAGGTGCTTGGGTTCCGGCCCCACCCCCACCCTGTCTCTGTCTCTCTGTCTCCCGCTCATACTCTCACCTTGCTCAGTGGGCCTCACTGGTTTACGGGCTTTTTTCTCCCCTGCTATTTTCTAGATTTAAACTGCTTCGTTGTCTTTTGAAATGAGTAGAACAGCGGTGCCATCCTGTGGGTACTTGGGGTCTTCTGACCCGTGAGAAGCCCCGAGTGCAGCCGTTCCCTCGGCTAAGGGATCTTTTCTGGTCTGGAGGAGAAGCCTCGGTGGGGGCATACTGGCCTTGCCAGCTCTATGCAGTGCCAGGGGAGGTGCAGGCCCTGGCCGCAGCCTGCGTCCTTCCACCAGGTGCGGGACCCTGGCCACTCCTCCCTTGTCCTGCCTGGCCCGTCTAGCCAGCACTGCCTCGATAATGGGCTGCCCACTCAGGAGTCCCAGCGAGCTCAGGTTCCAGGCTGGGTCAGGGACGGGCAGGGTTTCCTAACCCCAGGCTGGGACTCAGTCCGGGCTGGCCCTCGGCTACCTGGGACACCTGACCCCTTTCCCAGTGGGCGGCAAGGCAAGCCTCCAGAGGTTGATGGGGTCTGGGCAGATGCGAGGTCAGGGTATCAGGACACCATGGCCCTGTGTGCTGGAGCCTCCCTGTCCCAGTTAATAAGGGCTCCTCCAGCACGGGCACCCAGCCCCACAGAACGTCACTTCCCGCCGTCTCACCACCCACCCTCTTTTCATCTGAAGACCCTCTGGGCCTATGTGGGGGAGTGGCCAGCATGCTGCCAATAGCCGTGGGTCTGGTGAGACACCTGGCACCCTGCCCCTGTGGTGTGCATAGTTCCTGAGGGAGGACCGTCTGCACCCAGAGAGTAACAGTGAGGTGATGGCTGAACACATGGCAGGGGAGATGGGGACACTACTGAAAGAAGTTCTTGGTGACTACAGTGTGGAGAGGGGGCTTGGAGAGCAGGGCAAGAGCTGAGGCCGAAGAAGTAGGCAGCGGTCTGGGGCTGTTTTAAGAAGCTTGGATCTCATCTCACGGCAGTGGGGAGCCACTGCACAGCTTAAAGCGCAATCTGGCATGCGTATGTTTGAAATCTCTCCCTGGATGAAATTTTGAGGATGAGTTGAAAGTAGGGGGCTACCAGAAGGCTGTTGCAGACTCCCAGATGGTGTCCTATGTTAGGTAGGAGGGTATAGAGGCCAAGAGGAGAGATACATAAAGCCAACAGTGTGCGATGCTCGATGCTTGATTGGATTGATCACATAAATCAGTATGAGACCTGATAGCTTTCAATCCATGAGTATGGTATACTCCTCCATTGTTTAGGCCTTTACTTTCTCTCAGCAATATTTTGTGCCTTGGAGCATACGTCGTGCATTTGTTCTTTAGAAATTCATTTTTGAGGCTTATAAGTGACATTGTGTTTTTAGTTTTATTTTGCAGTTGGTTGTTGCTATAGAAATATACTTTTGGGTATATTAATCTTGTGTCCTACAACCTTGCCCATTCACTTACTAGTTCATGGCTTTTCTTTCCCCTGCTAAATTCCTTAGGTCTTTCTACACTATGATTATGTCATATGTGACAGTAGTTTACCTCTTCCTTTTCTGTGTC